CATCTCTCTGATAGCAAAGAGAACATGGAGGAAGAGTGAACAGAGTAAGACATGGGCGAGTGTGTGCACGTCTGGCACATTCGGCCACTGGACACACTTAAAAATGTATTAATATCTGTAATAAAAGATGAAATACAGAGCAGGAACGCTTCAATCAAACTGAAACTTTTTGAGATGGACGTTCTCACTCCAGAGCGGCTCATAAAGGTTCAATGATCCGTGGCCATGGAAAGCATTAGACTTCATTCTGATCTCACTGAAAACATCTGTGAATTTGTTTAAAGGCGTGTATGGGAGCATTGTGAAGTAGGGGTTGAACGACTTCTGATTTTTTAAAGTCGACTTTTATGTGATGAAAGTCGAGTAGAAGTCGACTAGTCGCTGATGACGTCATTAATGAACAAATAAGTCTGGAGCTGTGATAAACAGCTTGTGCACAGCTATGGCATATGACACAGCGCTGCCCACATGGCTGTTGCTCCTATAACAGCTCTTTTATCAGTTCTTTTGTCTTTGGGTCGTTATATTTCTCACAGATTTCTGCTCGTTCTAAATCAGATACAGATAAAGTAGCACAGTAAAGATTACATTAATATGAATGCATTAGTGAGAGCGATTGCGTGTGTGAATTAATTCTACCTGGCAGCGTCTCTCTACTAGTAGTGAAGCTGTGGAATTTAGTTGTTAAGAAATATATGCTTGAACTTTTCAGTTTCTAAGCTATTTTATTGAGAAATCACAGAACAGTGTTGACAATACATTTCCGCGCTGAATGATTCTGTGCGCGTGATGTACACGCTACTGTCTGTAGCCTATGTGTGTGTGCGGTACAGTGCAGCAGTGCATTAGATTAGAACAGCGATTAACTTACCTGTACAATAAGCCGTTTAAAACGTGCATTCTCCCGTTCAATTTCGAGCATCCAGTAATATAATCACACGTCTTGTGGAGCGCTTTCAGAGTATGCATTTATTTGTCATTTGAACTGTTTGGAAACGGAGCGTAAATGTGGAAGTCCTTCAAAGATTTCTTATCCTGTTGCGCCCTCTATAGGACCAGCGACTAGTCGACGTACAGCTTAAAGCATCATGGCAGAGCATTGAAGTCAACTAGTCGATTAGTCTGTGCAACCCCTATTGTGAAGGAATAATGTTTGCAGAGAACACCGCTTAGCTTTCGCCAAACAAAACCAACCCAGATGAAGGAAATCGAGTGTAAGATGACAATTCAGGCATGTTACTTCTGTCCATTGTTCAGTTTTGGCTCCTTACACCAGGTCTTGTGCATTGGCCTTGTACAACTACTGTACAATTTCCCTCATTCCAGCGTTCTGAAACTAAACCCAGCTGAGACAGGGTCACAGAGGTCCTAATTTAATTCCACAGCACTTTCTGAGGATGTATTGTGAAGGATTTTGCTTCTGTCTCTCTCGGTTGTTGAGCTTCTATTTGCAACTACTGTCTTGCATTTTGTCTTTGTCTGGTACATTATATTGGCAAAATCTTTTTCTTTTGACTCCCTAAATGTGTGCCAGACATCTTTAATGGCTCACTCTTGCCGATGGATTATTATGTTTAGTTATGCGAGTCCCCCACATGCATACATTGAGGGCCACAAGCAACTTGGTGGATCAGATGCGAAAATGTCTCCTTGGTTGGGAAATGTAATTTTATTATCTATATCACTTCTAAATTTAGGGTATGATAATTTCATTTTTTTAGTGGCTCTTAATACTACCATTAATATTAGCTCTGAGCTGTTAATTTCCTTTGATTTGGAATTACGAGTTTCTATGGCAACACTATAAATGCCAAAATTAATTTGTGTTATTTGAGTAATCAATAGCCACAATTTATTTTCCATTTTTTTGCAAATGCCTTATTAATAAACTTACATAAGTTAGATATTCATCTCTGTGTTAGATGTATTATTTAATCAGATTCATGTCAGATTACTCTAGCTTTATTTTGATATTATAAGTAGTCAGTTTAAGAATTATTAAACAGAAAAGTTACTAAAGAATTTTACTACTAAAGTTGCTACTACTTCTGCATGACACTACAGCAGTCAGAAGATACAAGTCAGAGCATATTTGAAGTTTACAAGTTGTGATTAGGAGTTCAACGAAGATGTGAACACTTTTTACAAGTCAGAACCTTGTAATTTTGTTAATTCTGGTATGATGTGAATGCGCTATTTTTGCTCAGTTAGTGACTGAAAACATACTGTATGCAGTTACATAAATACACATACATACAGAAAATGGGTGAAATTATATTAAAATTGATTAAATGTATTACAATTAGATTTAAATATGAGAGTATTTTAAATTTAATTGCAATACATAGTTAATATAATACATTCATTAAATTAATTCACTTAGCATTCACTTGAAAAATTTAAAAAGATTGACATTTTTATATTAATATTAAATATTTAGAAAAATAAAACATTCGTAGAAGATGATTTCTGCTGTAATGATTTGTTCCTGTTTTTATTTTACATAACTTTAAATGAAACTCCCCTGATTAAGTAAGAAAAAAAAGGATTTATTTAAAAAACAAAAATCATAAAAACAATTAAATTGGGAGTTTTGGGAATCAACACAAAGATGAAGAAACATCCATTAATCAGCCAAGCAGAAAAAATAACTGGCCTATAACATACTATTAGCCTAAAAGTTGAATTAACTGATAATAACCAACCACCATAATAACCATGCAAAGAATCTCATTGTTGTCAACAACTAAAACAAGCTTTGGAAAACCATCTGAGCACAAAGAGACAACACAGGAAAATGGCGAGCTTCCTCTTGGCTTGCCAGTGGTGCGAGAAAATGCCAAACCGAATAACGTGGGTGGACGGATCACATTCTAACATCACAGTGCTTGGGCACTGAAACTGCATTTCAAACTCTTCTCTGAAACGTCCACTTGCGAATGGCTGCCACGTTTCTGAAGGAAAGCCAAAGAGATATTAAAAGCAGCTTTAAGCTTGTTCAGGAATGATACACCTCGTAGGATTTCCTGCAGCAGGCTGAGTGAGCTGATAAGGGCTCGCTTGCAGACCCGCTGTAACGGGGCGGCCCATGAGTCATCAGGTACCGGGGTGGAGGGGACCGCTAACAAAGCCATAAAGCCCATAAGAATCAGCAGTCAAACCCTATGAACACACCTCAGTAGCGCTGAAAACAGGTCAGCTATGACACAACACAAACGGGGAAATCTGAGGACTGTGAAACTTTTGCACTGCACATGTGCACTTGCGCAACTAACAGCTAGACAGCTACCTAGTAGCAACAAGCAGAAAACTCAGTGAAAACTATTTAATCTAAACACACTCAACCACAATGAAGAAAAAGAAAAAAAGGAACACGTGGCAATATCCGGCTGTTGCCACATCCTAACTGACACACCCAAGATTGTTACATTTAGTTTGTGACCAAAAATGATTGTCATGTGCTCACCAATCAAGAAATGTGTGTAAAGACGGCCAAATTCACCTTCACTCTTAGTCATCGAGAGACAGATGGGCACTAACAGTGACTTCATCATCATATTAAATATTCTGGTTTAGTGTGGGCCGCTTCACCAACACAGAGCAGAGAAAGTCCAAGCTAAGAAAAACATTTCTCGTTTTAGCAGAAACCTCTCCATATACCCACAGTCATATGGGAATTGCACTCCTGTGTCACTGATCAAATATTCAACTCAGACTTAATGCTGAACCAAGACTTTCATAGTGTTACTAAAGTCTATAAAGAATTGTGTTACTTGGAAAGTAAAGGGATAGTTCACCCAAAAACTACTGTCATTAATTACTCACCCTCATGTCGTTCTAAACCCGTAAGACCTCCATTCATCTTCGGAACACAAATTAAGATATTTTTGATCAATTCTGAGAAATCTCTGACCCTCCCATAGACAGCAAGGATCCTTACACGATCAAGGCTCAGAAACGTAGCAAGGACATCTTTAAAATAATCCATGTGACATCAGGGGTTCAACCGTAATTTTACGAAGCTACGAGAATACTTTTTGTGCAAAGAAAACAAAAATAACGACTTTATTCAGCAATTTGTCTCCGCGTCACCCTATAGTGCCATTTTGGGGAGTATCACATACGTAAACAACATATGCAACATATGTTGTTTAAGTTGTTTACTCTTTGATCTGAATATAAACAACAAACATGAGTGATTAATGACAGAATTTAAATTTTTGGGTGAACTATCCCTTGAAGTAGGGCTGCATGATTAATCACATTAAAAATGAAAACGAGATATGGCTTAGTGCAATCATCAAATCACAAAGTATGCAATTTAATTAAATAAATGTATATACTGTGCGTTTCAGTGCGGCACTGTGTTTTCTTACACGCCAGCAACTCATGATCTGCTGTTTTCAGTGTTTCAGAAAAAAAGACAAAAACCAAACACATTCTTTTAAATAGAAACTTCTATGAGAAAATTGGAAATATCTATTTAAACAACAATCACAGTTTAATATTATTATTCAAAATATCCACCAGCAGAATTCAGCGACTGACCAACCAGAATGAACTATTAAAGTGAGCCGTGCAAAAAAATGTCATAAAATGCTGTTTGTCTTGATAAGAGGCTGGTTATTGCTGGAAATAGTTTATCTGAGGAGGTTTTAAAAGGTTGGTAGCGTGCAAGTAAACAAAACTAAAAAGTATAAGCATGAGCAGAAAGATACTACAGGGTTATGAAGTGATGTATAAGAACTGAAACCTATTTTGATTTTTATTCTCTATTGGAGAAGCATCAAAATTATAAGACTTATGAGCCTAGAATCTCTTCAAATATACTTCATAAAATCAATCAATAAAAAACAAAGCAATAATGATTCTGACAAGCTATAGCTGAAAATAGAGACGACCATATGCTTCACTAGAAAAAACAGTCTGTCAGTGCAGAGGTGTATGGTGAAACAGAATTGAAATCCATACTTCAGAAATGTGAAGGTCAGAATACTTACATCTCAGTCTCATATTCTTTACTGTCTTTGTCATTCTTCTTGTCTGGCACATCATTTGCAGATTGGTGCTTCTGAACTATCCGCATGCCTCCTGCTTTTACTGCCATAAATAAACAAACAGTTCAGAGTTTATTTCCAGACACTGGTGGTAACTGAAATTGCATTTATTATACAATGTAATCAAATAACATAAATCACAAGTGGCCATTTTAATGTGCAACCTTATGCTATCTTTTTTCCCTTGGCCTACTTTTAGGGCCATTACACACATTGTTATCTGATTTCTTGTGTACTTTACACCACACTGACAGATATGCTGACAGAGTGAAACACAATGCAAAATCACACATTTACATTTTGTGAAAGGAAAAATATTGAAAATCTGCACCATGTCACATAATCAAACATGGTTGATCTTTAACATACACTGCCTCTTAGAGACAAATGGCTACTTGGGAAGAGCTTGCAAGCAGCATAACACATCAGCTGAATCATGCACTAGGGAAAATCCATAAAAGTATGACTTTCAAATCCCTTGTGAGCATATGTGTAAACAATGAAGATCTGACACCAACTTTTATTATAGGTATTTTTCTTGACGCGCCAACCAAAATCCAGTAACTTTATTCCATTTTTGTTGGAAGTCTTTTTTGCCCATTCCATCCCTCTTTCCAACTTATCCTTATTTCAATATACACACACACACACACACACACACACACACACACACACGTGTTATACCAACCCTGTTACCATGTTTTTGCACAGTAAACAAACTTAGTAGAAACATCAGAATCAAATTATTTTCTAAAAAACACCTAAAAGTGTCATGACCCTGAGCACATTTTATTTATAGGCATAGCTATATCCCAACAAATTTATTTATGTAGCAGTATTAACCCGGGATGGCACAATGCAATTTAATGAACATTTATTAAATAAGAGATCCAATGCAATGTCTAAAATCTACAATAATGCACTTTTTAAATCACATTTTCCAAATGAAAAAGGCGCCCATTGGTGGATTGATCCACAAGACTTCCCAGCAGAAAAACAACAACAGCAGAAGCAGTAGCAGTAGCACAGAGACATTACCAGCAGGAAGATGTCCAGCTTTGGTCTCGATTTTCTCTTTGGGCGGCGATGACATGGCTGCTGTCAAGCGCTTCTTCCAAAGAGTTGCTTCGTTGTCTTCAAAATAAAAACAATCCTTCAGTTTCCTGGCTGAAAAACAACGCACACTTCTGTCGACTTCGTCAACGTGGCTTTTTCCTGCCCATTGTTTGGCAACGGTGCGTGATGACACCAGTGGTCGGCTCCAACCAATAGGAGCGTTTATTGAGAAAGGAGGTCCCTCTTTTTACTATGGAAAGTCTAATGGAACATACGAGAAGAATCAGAAAATACAAACCTGCATGCATTTGTAGAGGAGCCGTGTAGCTTCTATTAATAAATACATACTAGCCCAAACAGGTGATAGAGAGAGGGAAGAAAATGCCTTTGTTTTTATATTTAAAAAATGATTGATAAATCATCAGCATAATTTAATTAAAATTATTTATGGTAACATTACTCACATGAGATGAGGTCCCCGGTCGATGCACTCTTTTTCATACCTGAAATCATTAACTCTGGGTCATTCTGAGCCCCGGGTAAAAGGAATCCTTCACGTTTCACACTGCTCATAATTTAATCCTCCTGGAAATTCATGAAATGACGTTCATATTTACGGCGTTTAGTGTCAAACTGTCAGCGATTGGATGACCGCGACACGTGACCTCTACGTAAAGGCTCTAAACATTCACGTATTTTAATTAAATATTCCTGAGAACAAGTTTTCCAGGATGGACTTTTTGGACTATAAAGGTAAAAATGAAACGGTCTCTTTTTAAACTCCAATTAATGCGTTTTCTGTCACCATTCTTTGACTTGTTTTGTCGCTGAAGCTGCTGTTAAAACGCGCGGGGTTTCTGTGTGACTTTGCCAAACACGTGATTAAGGAACGTCGGCAATGGGTGTCTGTTAGTGGGCTGCAAAGCATATATCTTGAATAGACATACCTCTCGACCACGCCCAGGAGGAGGCGATAGCTCTTGTTGAGTGGGCCCTAATGTGAAAGGGGCATTCCAAACTTTGGCTCGTATAAGCAGCCGTGATAGCGTCCACAATCCAGTGGGAAAGTCTCTGTTTTGACATGGCCCGGCCCTTCGCACGACCACCGTAGCACACGAAAAGCTGGTCAGATTGCCGAAAGTTGGCCGAACGGTCAATGTAAATCCTCAAAGCCCTGACGGGCACACCGAAGTCTGAGCGTCCGCATCACGCGAGGTCGATGACTCAGAAGACAGGGCAGACAGCGAAACAGTCTGCGCTCTGAAAGGGGTAGATAGTGATTTAAGCACGTAGCCCGGCCTCGGCCAGAGAGTGACGCTACAGTTGCCGGGTCCAAAGCGAATACAGTCACTGTCCACAGAAAACGCATGTAAATCCCCTATGCGCTTAGCCGAAGCGAGGGCAAGAAGAAGTGCAGTTTTGAGAGATAGCTCCTTCATATTAACGGATGCTAAAGGCTCGAATGGTGGCTGTGAAAGAGCTCTTAACACCACCTCTAGGTCCCAGGGCGGGACTGAAGGCGGACGCGGGGGATGCAATCTCATCGCTCCCTTAAGGAAACTCACCACCAGCGCGTGCCTACAGATCGATTGCCTGCCCAGCGGGGAACGAAACGAGGCAATAGCGGCCAAATAGACTTTCAGTATTGATGGCAGACATACACTATCCAGCCTGTACTGTAGAAAACGCAGAACATCTGACACGGAGAAAGCAGCCGGGTCGATATGAACATCACTGCACCACAAACATAGAGCATACAAACATCTCCTGAAGGGCACCCGCGCCTCCGAGAGCGTCACACCCACAAGAATGCAGGGCGGTCAGCTCCTCTGATATCCCCTAAGCAGCCACACATGATAGCTCCATAACTCCGGGTTGGGGTGCCACACTGAGACGCTCGCTTGAGACAGCAGATCCTTCCTGATGGGGATCGGCCAGGCCGGCGCCACCAGCAGCTCTGTCAGGTCCGGGAACCAAGACTGGTTCGGCCAGTTCGGGGCGATGAGTATCGCCGAAGCCCCCTCCTCCCTGATCTTGCATAACACCAGTGGCAATATCTTGATTGGAGGAAACGCATACAGCCTGGCTGCTGGCCAGTGCGATGTCAGAGCGTCCCCCTCCAGCGGGGAGTGAGACAGGGAGAAGAACAGCGGGCAGTGCGCATTCTCGCCACGCGATGAACGAATGACTCGAAAAACCCGAAGACTCGAAACAGGTAAACTACTTGACTAATTCCAGTATAGAAGCTATAGGATGTTGCGCATGCATGACTGAACAAATCACTCCCTGAGACGATTCGTTCTTCCCGAGTCACATTAAAGATTCGTTCAAAACGAACGAATCGTTCAAGAACGACCCAACACTAGTGTCTGTAAGATTCTAGCCGTAACATTCTAACTTCGTTTCTCTCTGTTCAAGTTGTATCGAAGTTTAATAACCCGCTTCTAAATTACAAGTGTGAAACTGTGCTTACCTGGGGTTAAAAGCGAGGTTTAGAACGAAGAAACCCGGTTAAGCGCAGTGTGAAAATCCTGTGTTAAATTTTATTAAGGCTAAAATTTGTATGGGAAACTCTAGCAGACATAATAATAGGGAATCTTATCAAACAATTATGTCTGGGAAAAAATTAGTCAAGAACTCCCGACAGTGCTGGTGCTCATATCACTACAGCTGGTAGACCTATTGCATTATATTAGATGATGCAAAGCTGCAATTAAGAGAGAGAGAGAGAGAGAGAGAGAGAGAGAGAGAGAGACCCATTGCCAAACAGCCGTCTTCGACACTCACCGCGGACGCCACTTTAACACCATGACGTCGCGTGAGATTATTTAAAAAACTGCCATAGCCGCACAAGGGGGAAAACCCCCCGCAGCCCAATTCAAACAAACAACAAAACAAAGAGAGAAGAGAAAGGCAATAACACAGAAAAAGAAAGAAAAGAAGAAAAAACTCACTCGCAAAATCACGCTCCACACTCACGCCGCTCCGAACACTCACGCTCACACTCGCACCGGAAGAGAGAGAGAGAGAGAGAGAGAGAGAGAGAGAGAGAGAAAGAAACATTATTTTAATAATCAGAAATACAGTGAATGTGATTTTAATGGTAAGTTACGTTTACACTATGAGGAAAGGGAATCATGTCAGTTTTACACAAGTACACAACACAAGGGGTTCCTCTCATTAAACGTTTTGGAATGCATAGCCTATTTGAGATCATTGTCCTATATACTTTATATTAACCCCTGTGTTATTGTGTGCAGAATCATATAGATATCATATCAAAGGGGTCAGAGTTTGGCCCAAGGCTATTCAAGTCTGAAGCTGCGATGCAAACACAATTTCTCAGTTTCTCAGTATCAGTAAATCAAGTTTTGTTCTTCACAAGTGCATAAATCAGTTGTTCGATATAAAAATCTGAGGTGTTTGCCCTTATCTATAGCACTCTCTGTGGCAGATGTTGAGCTGCATTGATGAATTTACACTGAGGTGAATCATGACCACTAGAGGGGAGACTAATGCTTTAATAAATGACAGGAGTCTTCATTTTGAAACAAGCCACACAAGCAAGCCTTATGGAATGGCACTTTTAAAGCAGCTGATAAAATAATGCAAACAGCCATAACTGCATACGAATCAATATATGATCAAATATTTTGGAGCAGAATTCTGCATTTGTAGCATCAGATGCTGTCCATAATTGCTAGGTGAAGTATCCCATCATTAAAGGATATACATCAGTGAACACAAAAAGCCTATGTGTTCTGGGTTTAAGAAAACAGTTGTCGTATAGTGCAAGGCAATCAAACCGTTATGGTTTTAGGACCTACAGCAGCTGCTGATCTGAGCCTGACGGAGGCAGTATTTGATTGTTATATATCACTCACAGGTTGAAGAGCTGTATTGTGCAGAGAAATTTGTGCCAGTAATGTCTGGCTCTGTCAATAAGCACTATGACGTTCACATTGGATGTATCATGGGAGACTGATGGGAGCTTTATGTAACCTTTAGCTTGCATGCTCTAATAACCATACTGTTCTGATTATTATTGAGGACTTTTAAAGATTGAGTTTCTTTGTGACAACCTATCAAGAAATGTCCTCATACTGTATAATTTCAACCCCTCCTCATTTTCAGGACATATTAAGCACATTTCCCCCATAATTCTTATTACTGTAATGTCTGGTAATTTTAGTATTTTTAAGTAATTATTATTACTGTAATAGTCATTGTTTTTTTTGACAGTAAAACAGTTGCTTTGCTATTATTGAAAAAGTAAAAAAAATGAATATTTTCATGGTTCATATTAAAGATAGAATAAAATAAAATAAATTCATAAAACATATGTTTTTACATAAATATTATTGTTTATAAAAAATAAAGTATAATTGTAGCATTTGTTGAAGTGCATTTAATGTTTATTTTAGTATTTAAATTATGTAAAAATTTAAAATACATTGAAAAAATTGGTGTAGAAGCCATTTTCACTTAGAAATTGCTAGTAAATTTCACAGATAATTATAAAGAAATGGCAAGACACGTTGAATTAAACATAACTGAAATATTTCCTTGTAAAACAAGGAATTCAATAATAGTTTTATTTACAACTTCTGAAAAATGTTACAATGTACAGCTGTTTTACTGCAATACAGTAAAACAATGACTATTATAAAAATCATGATAAAATTTAATCTTAATTTCATGTTATTAGATTAAGATTGTATTTTACATTACAGTAATGACAACTGAGGATGAGCTTAATTGTTCTGAAAATTGTTACAATGCAAATCATTATTATAGCAGACTTTTTGGGGGTGTCCTGAACTCCTTTTGATATTCCCTTGTACATGAAAACGAAACTATTGGTCATTTTGTTGGGAAATGACTGATTTAATCAGGTCTGGCACAAAAATGTAGCATCTGACATTCACGGATGCCTATTAAACCCTGTTCAGTCTGTCCAGGCTCTAGACTGAATCCTGACGAAAATTCATTTTCCCTTCATGAATAATTTCATCTGCAGTGGGCTGATGATCCTTTTATTTAACTTTTGTCCACACAGAAATTGATTTTGTGCCAAATCTGTATTTTGGACTCTAATTCATGGATGTGTCAACAGTATGGAAGAGAGATGGGTTTCGAGTTCTTGCCGTATTTGCCCTGGTGTAAAATGAATCACATTGTTCAATTGAAGACCTATTTTCATGCCA